CTCTTAAGCCCACGGCGTGAGGCTTACCGCAGAAACCAGTGAAGGGATGGGGGCGCTGGGACATGGTGTCAGAGCTAAAAGTGAAAGATGTGGGTGTGGATGAGAAGGAAAGAGCTAGTGGGGCTAGAGTGGCTTGGTTACACAGAGGTAGAAGTATAGCATGGCCCATGTACTTCACACAGCGGGGCTACTGGAGTTGTAGGTTGCTGTTAGTTTTCAGCTTGGAGTTCTTAAATCTTTGTCTCAGCTTGTTGTCCACAGCTCATTACAGTGCACAGACCCAGCGGCCTTTACATCTGTTTGTCTCAGCTTTGTGGAAATTTTTCTTGGATCTTTCGTTACTTGATCTTTGTCGTTTTTGTGAGCAGTTACTGCCTCTTGAAGCAGCCGTCTCTGGTGTGTGTGTGTGTGTGTGTGTGTGTGCATAAATGTGTGTGAGTATGTGTGTTTTTATCGATGCAGTACACTGCCTTGGCTCTAATGAGGAGCTAATTAACCGGGTGTTCCCCCGTGCCCTGAGCAGGTGGCTGGAGCAGCCAGGCGGAACTTAGCCCGAACACACACACACACAGACACACACCATAGAAACACACACATGCTGGCAGGGGCCCATATAGCTGAGCCTGTTGGGTCGGGCAGAAAGGGCACCCAATGAGGGGCTACAGCAGGTCTGGACTGTGGCATGGGCCAAGGGGGGCAAGGTGGTGGTGGGAGAGCAGCCTACCAGTTTTCAAGGACCAATTTTAGCCATGGGATTTGGGTTTTGCACAGGCATCCAAAATCAATTGGCTGTGCTTACTAGCTTGGCTTTGGTCGAGCTGAAGGAAAAATGAGGTTAGATTTATCCCTGACATATGGAGGGGAGCAGAGAGGCGGTGCACGCCACAAACACCCTCACATTTTATTTGTTGAGCGCAGTCTTTACGGGCCAATTTGTCAAAGCACGCTTGACAGAACAGTCTGTGAGCTTGTTCAAGGTACATTGACTTGTTGAGGCACCTGTTATGAATGGTGTGGTGTTCTTCTGTCAGTGTACTTCAGCAGAAATATTCTATATTTTCTTGCATTCAGAGATGTAAGTAGTACCCTAGATCACTTTATGTGCAGATGAAGATATTTACTGGAGCAGTTTTATACCAAAAATTTAATTTGGCACTTTTGATCTAGATGACAAAGTGGGGAAACATTCCTCTTGTCTAATATTTTCCTGGGGTTTCATCCTCCTATCCCTCCATCCTCTCCATTTTTTCTCTCAGCATCCCTCTGTTTGCCAAGCCTGTAGCTTATGTTTGTTGTTCAATTTCCATGACAACGCGAGGAACCAGCTTAATGCATCCTTGAATTGGACACTGACCCATACCCTCAATGATCACAGTATCTTCACTGACTTCCACCCACAGAACTCCTTCCCACGCCAGAAAAAAATCTCTTTTTTCTCTGCAACAGATAAAGAATTAGTCAGTGAGTGTTGTTTTTGTGGAGGCTTTGATGTGTTAATGAATTGAAAAATGGCCTTCAACGGCGTTCATTTATCCCCGCTGAGCCTAATTTGGGGGGGGGGTTGCAGAAATGGTGGGCGGTGGTGGGGGTGGCAGGTTTTGGGGGGTGCACATGCACTTCAAAACAAACCCATAAACATTCCAAGATCCTTGGGCAGCTGCAGCTCCGAGCTGGAGTTAACTGCACACAGCATGTACACCAGCGAAAACACACAGGATACACACACAAACACCTACTTGAGGTCATCAGAAGATTTTGATTATTTATTTTTCATCATTTATTAAACTTAGATCACACGTATATCTTAATTGTCTCTTGCTCTTGTGTCTTCCACAGACAATTCCATTCATGTCATTCTTTTTCTGCCTGGAACCCATTCTCCCATCTGTCACAAAAAGTCTTTCTGTTGTTCAGTTCCTTCCCAGTTGTCCCAGTTACATATGTTGGACCATTTAAAGGTTCAATTCTGCAGCTCTCTCCACTTTCTCCACACTTGAACATATCCTTTCTTAACTTGGACTTTGTTGGCCGATCTTGTTGCATCGCAGTAAATCGAGAGGATGCCGTAAGAAGGGCCGCTGGTTCTTTAACTGGGGGAGAAAATGCGATCCATCGCTTTCATGTTCCGCTACAAGGTGTTAATGGACACAAGTGCTCACAGCTGTGTGTGTTTGAGACGCTTGATCATAATCAAGCCACCCAACACCCGCCGGCAGCTCCAGCCACTCACCGGAGCGGGTGTGTTCTTTGTCACATTCCCCTCAGAAGAAGTCAGATAGGCTGTTTAGTCATCCACATGTAGCAACACACTAGATAGAAACCCACAAACACACACATCTATACACAAAGAAAATGAACCAATTACTGTTCCTATAGCTTTTTTTGTTTTAAACAGGTATAAAACACTATAACACTGTATCACTATGACTTATGTATGGAAAAGGATACAACAATCTATATACTTTTATGCATCCTTTAATTAGCATGGTTGTTGGGCAAAACATCCAATGGAGGGGAGCGCAGAGCCGAGAGTTTTTGACAACAACAGTTAAGAAAGAGGCAAAAGCAGCTGTTTGTAACATATTGACACCGCACAGCTGCACATTTGCGATGGTACTGCTCCTCCGTTTGGTCTGTTTTGTCCCTATCTGTAAGCTTTAAAAACACATGCACAAATACAGATGAAATGAATGGAAGGTATGGACAGAAGGCTCAGTCTGGTTGAGCATAAATTAGTCTAAAGATAGTGAGTTATTTTAACACACTCTAATTGCAGATTTCCCTCACTGTCATCTAGACATTACCTATTCTCTAGGTTCAAATATAGGGTCAAACCTCATCTAGGGCTCACAGATCCGTGAGAGCACACCAAAAGATCCAGCTTTGTTTCTATATAAATATACATAATACAGTATTTCATTAACTACAGAATTCCATACAAATTGGGCTGTATAATAACCAGATGGAATTGGGAAACAGTCTGGGAATGTGCTCCCCTCTTTTTTTTCCAGGGTCTGCAACCAGGGAAAAGCAGGCCTCTTTCTCAATCTGGTGCCAGGCTTCCCTTTCAGGGTGGATGGAGATCTCATATCATTCACTGCTCGCGTATAGTACACATGACTGGACATGTGGAGCCAAATGATTCTCCTCCTGGGAAAGAACCATCACACTGCCATTTGTGCTTTTTGGTCAACTGCAAAAAAGCTAATTTAAGTTCATACTGATCATTGAGCATCACGTAACTGCAGAACTGACCTTGACCTTAACAGAGAAGTGAGAACACTCAATGTTCAAGGTGTCAGCTACAGACACTTTTTTTTTTTTGTTGTCTGGTATGCAGCTACTTTGAGCTCAGTAAATACTTAATAACGGACATTCTTCAAAGCTAAAATACTAAAAAGCTTATCAAGTCAAATATGTGAATGTGCTGACTAACTGCTGTTCTTCTTGTTTTTGATCAGTACAAATAACAGTACCTAATACTGTATGAATTTGTAAAGTAAATATGGTACACCCTGCAGCCAGTTAGCTTAGCTCTAGCCTGACCCTTCAAAGGTAATAACATCTGCAATAGAAAGTGGGAAACCCACCTTGACGTAACCCCTAGTTTGTGAGTTGCCGTTGAAACCAGAAGTAACCATATTCTTAGGAGTCTGGATAGCACAGCATCTGGGTCTGGATCCGGACTGTGGCCTGCCTATTAATGACCCTTCCTCAAGAGAGAAAAAACAGCTTAACACAATTTCACTCTGTGACTAAGCACATGGATGAGACATTAAAGACAGAACATGTGCAAGGCATGCAATTTAAAATATCTCAATCAATATTGTCAGATTGAGATTTTTCCATTCTAATACTCTGCAACTGCCAACAGCCTAAATGCTCTATGTTCCCCACAAAGCCACACATATAGAAACAGACATAAAAGCAGCCCCCCGAGTCCCTCCAGCAATCTGTCTTTACTTATTCCCATTGTTGTGTCTCACTCTATTCAAAACATCCATTGTTAGTGAAATGTATTTTCTCGAACACATTCCCATTGGATTAAAGTTAATTTATATCACCCTCTGTTGTTATCCCCTAATAATCTTCCTTTGCCATAGCTGTTGACATTTTTGGTCAAACAGCTCAGGCTGTTGTTTACCCCTCTCTAATTTATCTGGGGGTAACTTTGAACTGGAACTTAGCTCCACAGCAGTCGTCATTGAAGCATCGGCCAAGTCTTCAGGTCCCAGGTCTGACTCTGATTCAACCAGAAGAGACTCTGGATCAAACTCTATTACACAAACAAGCCGGGCAGGTTTCTCATTATCCCCCTCCAATGTAAATCCCACATGTAGAGAGTGAGCAGAGTTTATCAATAATGTCAGAGCTGGTGAATGTGGTCATATATGCTGGAGTCACTGAAAAGTCTGGTGGGCCGAGGAGACTTCGAGGAACCAGTTGGATTTCAAGTGGAACTCGCAGAGACTGTGAAGAGATATAACCTCACTTCACTTGTCCCATATATTCTGGCTCCCCTCATTTAGAAGACAGCTAGCTCGAGCCCACTCCTTTATCTGAATCTGTCTCGTTTTTTAATAGATCTTCAGAGCCTTTACTCATCAGTGATTCATGAAATTAATGTCTCTCTTTCCAGTGATTAATAACTAATGGGCTGAGAGGAGCTGAATTCATTAATTATGAAATGGAGAAAATGAGCTCTGCAAATATCACTTTTGATTGATGAGTTCTGGAAGAGCAGCCAAGCGCACAGCCACAGTGTAGATTATAAACTAATCCTACTTTACTGGAAAATCTCTCCCATCCCTCTATGTGGTAGTACGCATATGTTTTGCTGTAATTCACACTCTACGTGAATATTTCATCCTGGCTAACTTGCGCTTGTACTCTGTTAGATAAATACTGTGCAAGTATTGTAAACTTTTACATTTGTCCCACTCACCTTCGCTGATGCAATCCCAAAAACGTCAATGTTAACTTTCCTCTCCCCTCCGCAGCGTGTAACTGTAACCTTCACGCCCGTCGCTGTCGATTCAACATGGAGCTGTACAAGCTGTCGGGGAGGAAGAGCGGAGGAGTGTGTATGAACTGCCGCCACAACACTGCGGGACGCCACTGCCACTACTGCAAGGAGGGTTTTTACAGAGACATGGCCAGACCCATCACTCACCGACGAGCCTGCAAAGGTGAGTCCCACAAGTTGTCACACAGTTCACAGCTGTTTAATGCAGGACGCACATGTTTGGATTGGAGGCTTCAATAGAAATGCTGCTCATTCACTTTGAACAGGCTGACGTCATCGATTGAAGAACTGCATTGTGGTTCCATTGCATTGTTCATGCTGCGTTCATCAGAAGTTTTCATGCAGCAATGGAGGCACCAGCCAATCAAATTGTGCTAAAGGAAATACTCAGGCACAGTGAAGGGCACATTAATGCGAGGCAGCTGGTGAATCTGGTGTGTGTTCATTTAACTGTGGATTTTATTTCCTGTGTACTTGCATTGCATGGAAAGCCAGCATAGCATGTTTGAGCAAAATAGCTATGTTGTGTGGCCAGAGCACAAAACTGTGATTGTTTTCTTTATAACGATTTCGCTATGCATCAATAAGTGGCAGGCACATCGATGGTCAAGTGCTAACACAATGCACACAACACTTAATGCATTTTGCTAAAAACCTCTTTGAAATCACTTGCTAGCTGTTAGATAGAATTAGAGCTATACTAGTTGTTCAGCAAACTACCTAGTAGCTTAATGACTTCAAATTTACCATAGACAACCATTGACTGCAAATAAAGATGGCCGACCTGACTGCTCCTCAAAAGTAAAGCCAAAGTGTCTTGATTGCCCCCTGGTGGCTGACTGCAGTATAGGTCATGGATTAAAAAGTCTAAGTAGGCCTACCTGACAAATACTTTTTTCTCAAAGATTGTTTCTGTGATATAGTTAGTTCTTATCACATTGATGTATGTTCAGGTGCCCATTTTTCAGTAAGTTTGTTATTTGATGCTTTAAAAACAGATTGAAACATTATGACCTATAGCTGAGACTGACTCAGAGGAAGTAGGGATGCATCATCCATCTTTATATACAGTCTACGCTTATTAACAACTTTTCATACAGTAATAACTATCCAGTTCTTCTTCTGCTGTCAGAAACATAAAACATACAATTTTTTTCTTGGAAAATATTACCAACCCCTCTATGTTTACAATAGCTAATTTAAACCTGCTCATGAACGAGGATCACTTTTGTGTTGTATCAATCAGTAATAGAGTAGCAAAATGAATATTTATTTATGTGAGACTGTCAGAGATTATTACTTTAAGCTCAGTTTGACTTTTCATTTGGCGACAGGCTGTGCTAAATGTTTACAACATGTCCAAACAACAGCAGAGTGAGATGTTATAACCTGACTAATACCCGTGTAATCATGTCATTTCGCAGAAAGTGTAAAAGGAGTAACCGGTTGTGATTGGAAACATACATGGTCGTGGTAACTTTCAATAAAAATATCAGCATGTCTCACTTGCCATACCATAGCACAGAGAAACAAATTGATACTGAGCCTGAAGCGTTTCTGGCCGCTCCCCCAAATGTTTCCCCATACGCCACACACCACATAATATTATCACTTAACCGAGGCATTTCTCATGGAAAATGTATTTTACCCCTTTTATTATTTCACATTTGCAGTGAATATTTTTCAGGCTGATATTATGCTGGAAGCATTTCGCTCCTCTCCCTGGACTCAGTAATAACACGAGTTTCCTGTACTTGTTGCTCAGGAAAATATTCAAATCAATAGCAGAGAGGGAGTGTTCTTCATCCTGTTGATCCCGATGAAGGTAAAAAAAATCACTTCCAGAAGTTTGAAAAAAACAGCATTGGTTAGAGCTGCCAAACCCTTACAGCCGTGAAGATCTTTTGCCCGAAATTTCATGGCGAGAATCTCCCCCTGGCTTCCTCTCAGTTTTCCTTCTGCAGCCGACCCAAGCTGTAACCCAACACCGGGAGGTTTGAAATGGCAGGATATCAAGCCGCAGTTGCCCATGTTAGTCGCACTGAGATGTCGAGCCATTCATCACATAATGGCAAGAGCTCCACTATGACTTGGTCACATACCTCAAAACTTAAGTCATCTGACCTGTTACTGCACTGAAACACTGACTGAAAGAGATCCGCCTTAATCCTGACACGAGATCAGCCCTGAGACGTGTGCAAATTGTTCCCTCATCTTCCATTTCCTGCAATACCTGGACGTGTGTTGCTTTCACACAAAAAGGCATCCCCCTCTGACACAACAATGTGTCCTTATCAAAGCCTAGAGATCAGGTGGTAAACAGTTTATCACCCTCTCGCACAAAGAGCCCAGATGTGACGGAAATGAAAGTTGAAAAAGCCTCTGCTGAGCTGCTGACTCAATGATTGATCAGAGCAATTCCACAGCCTTATAGGAGCCGTCATTTTTCCTTTGCCTCAGCCCTCGCTCCCTTTGTTCATCTCCATGTCCCATGATTGGTTTATAACCACTCTCTCATCTTCCACCCGACTCCAGCCTTCTCTCGACGTGACTCACCACTTTTAAAACCTTGGACTTTTTTTCTCTTCTCCCTGATTTTATTTTCAGGCCCTGATTTTCGCTCCCCTCCATGTTTTATCTCCACAGGTCAGGGTCAAGAATAAGGTCAGAGGTGGGCTATGGCTGCAGGGCGGGAGTTTCACCTCTGAAATGGAGTTACGGCAATAAAACACAGGTGTTTTCCAAGGCTGAGACAGGAGTGCGGAGGGCTGGTGGGGGGGAATGCAGCTCCGAGAGGATGAATGGGCCGTGTCTGTTTCTAATCAAACCTGCTTGAGCTGAGTGTCAGTGCACAATCTGAGGAGTACACAAAGAGGAGAAACCACCTCACTCCTGCCTCCATCACCTCTGCCACTTAACCTCCTGAGTGCACCAAACACACTCTTCATCTCCCTGGATCAGCACCAATGTCCCAATTCTAAATGAATCTGCAGAGCTCAAGGTCTCCAGCTCAAATCCCCAGGCATCATCTTCTCCACAAGCCCTTTACAGTGTCACAAGCTTTAAAACAGTCAGCAAAACTAAAGAAACATGGCAGTCGCCACATGGCCTGGCTGCAGTATTTGAGGTCCTCAAAATATAAGGGTTTTATGTGAGTCCAAGTTGCACAGCTGGTATCTGTTGACCACAAGGAACATTGATAAAAGGAGTTACAAATCAGATTAATCCATGTAAAGCAATGCCAGACAATATAAATGACATTACTGGATGCCCCAAATATTGTGTTTTCTGAAGAAGGACAAAAGGATATCTGTCAATAAACACTGGGTAAAGAAATGATATATCTCCACAGTGACCTCCCACCGGCTCTGTTTCTGGAAGTGAACTTCGCATTAGAACGCTGAACAGTAAGCTCCACCAAAGTGTAGTATTTCTACTTGACATCACAAATACATTTATCTTATAACACAGGTCATATCAAATGGACTTGTGGCTTCTACAGCAGCATATAATATTGTTTTACAATTTCATAGCTTAAGTCCACAGTGCATGGTTACAATAGTATGGCTGATAATCAAAATCTACATTCAGAAAATGTGACTTCTGGAACCACGCTGCTGGATTTTATAGCAGCATAAAGATGTGATCCAAATTACACAATGTTTGAATTTAATTTGAGATGTGGAGCAGCTGTATTGACGGCTTGAGTTTAACAGTCCTTCAACTAAGTGTTTTTACCTTAAATACCCAAATAATGCATAAATCTATTATAAAAACTTCCCTTCATCCAATAAAATATTAACTTTAACATCATTTTCTCAAATGAAATTATGTATTTTCTTCAAATAGTAGGCTGCAGATAACACCATCCTCTCCAAATGTGGAAACTGCCAAATAACTGCAGACAAAGTGCAGTCCCTGCAAGTACTTAAGCCTGTATGCACACACAGACTCGCACAAAGCAACACACATCAGTTAAACGGTGCAAATGCCTGTCAAAGGACTACAAATCCCAACACAGTGCCTGTCAAGTCTGCAGTCGCACAGGCTTGAAAAGTCATCAACATCTGAGGACGTTTTTACTGCTTCTTAACTGGCCCGAGCCCCTGCACATAAAACTTCAGGACCCCCACCACCACACACCTCCCTCCACCATCCTGCCCCTCACAGCCCTGGCCAGATCTGGTGTTTGCTGCTTGTTGATTGAAAAATGTGGACAATCACCGCAAATCTAGAATTGTGAAGGGACGTGCGAATGTCTTACATCACTCCCTTCTTCGTTCATTCTGCGCGGATTGCGTGGGTCGCCTGTGCGGCTCAGAGATCAGACGGGAAACAATGGCTTATCGTTCCTCCTGCTGTGCCACGTCTTGACAGGCATGACAGACCAACACCAGACTCATATCAGACGGATCGAATAACAGGGGGTTTATCCCACATGTGTGCTCTAAAATTGAACACATCATCTCACAGACAAAATTAAACCTCAAATCAAATACGTTTGAGATTATTTAATTTCGACAAATCTAGCTTGTTTACTTTAAATCCCTCTAATCTCTAAGATGAGTTTCATTATGAAGTCTTAAGACATAAACTCCAGGAATGCCACAGATTCCCAAATGCAGCACCAGTGAACAAAAGGCGGGTCTATCTGTGGCTGATGAATGAGGGTAAATGGTGTGGAGGTGAGGATATACGTGACGTGGTTGGCACAGAGTGACAGACAGATGGTTCGGAGACCCTTTTTAACTTGACCTCTGGCATCCATCTCAATCAAGCGTCTCACCCTGCCAAATGCAGATGTGTCCTCCCCTTTAGGTCGGTCAGAAACCCTCACCAAGTGTCAGCCTAGCATGAGTTTCCTGGTTCAGGCCTGCGTGACTGAAATGGTGGGGATTTTGCACGCTAAGGCATCAGATTTACGTCTCCTTGCACAGCTTCAAACGGAGCGCGGCCACTTTGACACCTGTGGACCGATTGGCCTTGCCCGGAAAAGGCGAGCATGTTTCTGAAGATCTGAGCTGCGGCTAATCCCCCACCCCACCCCACCCTGCTGCCAGATGCACACGATCACTCCTGGGTCAGTTTTGGGGCGTTTAAAGCCTCCCGTCACCCAGTCAACAGGTGGTAAGGTCCTCTGGCTTTCCTCTGTTTTAGCGGCTAAAGAAAATGTCCCGACACAAGTAAACACATTCACAGTTACTTCAAGTGGTGGGAAGAAACTGTGGCATGTTGGCAGCTGCCTCTCTCTCTGGCAAGCTCTTCAACAAACTGTTGGGTTACAGGGTTTTTCCCCCACCAAGTGTAATTTTGGCCTTTCTTGTCTTTTCTTGATAAGCTCGGACGATTACAGCGATCACGTTACAGTGTCATTGCTTTACATTTGCTATAATCATTTTGCACGAGGCCGTGAATGTTTTCCGAAGAATTAGATTGAAATTAAGGAAAGGCAGAAAGTTCACCTTAAATTTCAATATTGTTTGTTCTATTTTGGTTCCAGAAGAAGTGTTTTTACAGTGTATCATGGAGGCACTGTCTTGCTGTCTAATGTTAATAATAATAATCATAATATCTTAATTTATTGAGCATCTTCTCATCTTTGTCGGCCTCGGATTTGCTCTTCGCTCTGATTCTCTCTTGCATCTTGTAAAACTTTTCAGGTTTCAGACCAGTGCGCCAGCTCACTCTTACTTAACAGCCCTTAAAACTCAAAAAGCCTCACAATGCTTGAGGTGGCTTGGAATAAATCGCAGAGAACCAGCAAAACTCATAAAAGTCTCGGCAAAGGGAGGTGACCGGAGCGTTGTTTGTTGCTGTTGGCATTCTCTGGGCATCGACTGAACTTTGGGGAAGTGATGAAACGGCACAGAGCGTGTGTCACCAGGCGGTGCTCACAGCTTTAGGAGAGCGGAAACCAGCAAAGAGCAGTCTGCTTTCATGGGTCCCCTGACAGTGATGCACTACATGCATCACACCATTCACCTGGACATCTCTCTGTTGTTGTACCTGTCCCCTGCTCTCTTCTACTTTCACACATGAATTCTCTCTCTTTTTCACACAAACAGATATACATGCTGTGCTTTCAGTGTTTCTCATGCAAATAAAATGGAATAAAGAGCACAGACCCAGATTTGCATGCATGGGAGCTTGCATGTCCTGATCCATTCATTCCCAATGCATATTACAAGATTTTACTTCATATCCTTATGTAAAATCCAGGCAGAAGCTGATGTGTTATTATTTTGGCATCAAGATTATGAATTAATAAATTAATTGTGAATTTATTTTCTCCCCCCGCCCTAGCCTGTGACTGCCACCCTGTGGGCGCAGCAGGCAAGACGTGCAACCAGACCACTGGACAGTGCCCTTGCAAGGACGGTGTCACCGGCATCACCTGCAACCGCTGTGCCAAGGGCTACCAGCAGAGTCGCTCACCTGTGGCCCCCTGCATCAGTGAGTGACTCAAACACACACACACAATGACCTGTTAGTGCTTATCATATTAACTTGCACTCGGCGTTTATTAGATTGTCAGACCACTGAGCGGAGCATAACAATAATATAACGTAGAACCCATTAACAGTGGAGATGGTACTTGAACATTTTCAAGTACAAGTACAAATAAATTGGCAAAAATGTACCCGTAGAAGAAGTACCACGTAAATTTTTCTACTTGAGTAAAACTTAGTACTTTACTTGCTTTTAAATATACTTAAGGTACTATAAGTAAAAGTGCTTGCCTTCTGTAGCCTATTCTGCAGTGCATCATTATGGAGTCTCAGCGATGGACTACTTTTAGAAATATAAAAATTGCAACAATGTACTGGAGTTGAAAGTACACATATTTGCAGATATATGTGGTGGAGTACAAGTGAAAAGTACCAGAGTAATTAAAGCTACATACTGTAATAAAATGTACCAGTAACAAAGTAAATGCACTATGTTACATCTCACCACAGCGCAGTACAGAGTTACAGCAGAGTAGTGGACGCCTCTAACAGCAGCTCATACCCAAACTATGGAAATTGAGAAGCATAATTTAAAGCACACGTCCCTGTAGCCTGCAGTCCTTCTGGCCTCCTGACAGGCACACCCAACCCGATCTCTGCTCTGCATATACAGTACATGTGTTCTGTGGGTTTGCACGGCCACTGAAACTAAAATGATAATGTCATTGAGAACTCCCCAAAACATGCACATGCAAAGGCTGAGATCAGACTGTGACATTTGTTAAAGGAACAGAGAAAAGTTTAAGAGTGAGGTGGTGATGGGAATCTTTCTCAGAGTTCTTGTTGGTCATTGTTTCACTTGCTGTCAACAATGTGTCGTGCAGTGTGTGTGTTTGTGTGTGTGGGTATGAGTGCTTGCTTGCTTGTACTGTAGTAGCTGTAGTTTGCATGCAGGCCACACAGCTTTTTAATTTCCTGTGACAAGCATGCGTGTGTGTGTGTGTGTGTGTGTGTGTGTGTGTGAGCGTGCATGTCGGTTGTGAAACTCGCCAGTGCCCCGCCACATGCATGCATAATAGAGGGTAACTTTCCACCACACTGTGTGCCAGGCGGTGCGGGCACACATTGCGCTCACAAGACAAACCTCCACCAAAGCCACCACCGTGCCGCCCAGCGCCGTACCAAGCTCTGTCACACCGTGCCACATGGTGTCATGTCGTTTCTCTCACATGCGGCTCCAGAGCAGATGGCGGAGAGGTGAGCAGGAGAAAACAATGGTCACGGATAGCAGACCCCGCTTATTTGAATACCGCTGAACCATCTAGTGAGAACAAGAAGAATTGTGTATGTGCTTTTACGTACATTACGAACATTTGCATCCTTTGCAAAGAGAATTAATGACTGTGTGTGTGTCAATATGGCCTCATTGTCAGCATCTTACCTCCTATTGAGGCTCAGAAGACAAGATCATTAAGCAGCCAATTAGTATGATGGCAGCAGCCCTCATCTGAATGATCCTTTCATCATCTGTCTGTCTTCACAAGATGTGGCCATGAGGGCACACCGACTCAAAGTGGCTTCTAGCAGCTGCGCTTCCCTTCCAAACGCTTCATGCCCTCGTTTGTTTTTGTTGGCAGGGAGTCCATAATTTCAGGCAGACAACTGCTGCTTTTTTTTTGCCTCACTACCCCTCCTACCTCAAACCCTCAATCTCCAAATCCAATCAAAAGCAGATCCTCCGGGTGAATCCTTAAGCCGGCGCTCCACTAACTCTGTTTACGGTAAAGGCAGAGGGCCTGTTGTCAGCATTAGCATTTGTATTGGAAAGTTGCATACGATTAGAAGAGTGGTCCTGGAGGAATTCCACAAGGCACTTTTTAGTGTAGCCAGCGGGCACAGTAAGGGAGGGCTGCATCTGTGTCAAGATGATCCAAGCAAAATTGC